GGGTTTAAGGGTTTAGGTTTAAGGGAGAGTATTAGGGTTCTATTGGGGTACTATTCGGTTATTGGAGAATAAAATTGGAACTACCATAATGGGCGACATAGGGCCTTAGGGTTTAGGGTTGAGGGGTTAGGATTTCGGGTTTAGGGGCTTACGGTCTAGGGTTTAGGATTTGGGGGTTTCAGGGTCTAGGGTTTGAGGGCTCAAGGTTTAAGAGTTACGGGAGGGATCCGGGGTCTAGGGAGATGGGTTTAGGGCTTACGGCTTCTACTGTAGGAGGAGAGCGTGTAGGGAGCAGTCAACATTTAGACGCAGAATCTGTCTGCGATGCAGAAGTTGTTGCTGACTTCAGCTACCCTAAGGGTCCAAGGACCCAAATAATTAATGGTGCTTTAGGGCCCAAACAGTATGATGTAAATGGTTTTTTGGCCCTAAAACCCTATTATTTGGGTCCTTGGACCCTTAGGGTTAGGCTGTGTGGAGTGGAAGAGGAGAGGCTACTCTTCGAGGATGCACCCATTCAGAATTCTTCGGTGCTTCTGCCCAAAACCTCTACATATCTGAGGCACCTTAAGCCCTAACCTCGTGTTGGATGTAGATAAGGAACTCAGCTTAACTTACTATATGGGGAAAACCATATAAATAACCAACATATACCCATTATGGTAACTTAAACCCTATACACCCTAAATCCTAAACTCCAAACGGGAAATCCCAAACCCTATATACCCATTATTATGGTAACTTAAGTTAAGTTCCTGAGCAGCAACCCAGTAATTCAGGCACGCGCTGGCGGCCTCCGTAGCATTCCCTGAGATGTCTCCAGAAGCTATTGCTCCTAGGACTTCAGGAGTCTTACGGCTACGAGCTGCATGCGATTCTGGGTTTGTAAGGAACTAAAAGTAAGTTACCATAACATGGGTAAGAAGTATATAATGGGGTGTCCTTATGGTAGTAGGTTAATTTAAGCTCCTTAACAACCCAGGATATTGTAGTGGTTGCCAAGCCTATGGGGTTTTGCTTCTGAGCATCCCCAATTCACAAATGCCGCCTACCATCTGCCTGTAGCAGTAGTCGGCGCAGCCAACACGGCAGCAGCCAGCATCGTAGCTCGATCAGGCAGGGCTTATTGTTGGTTCTTGAGATTGTATAGGGGTGATGACGGGGTTTGCATTTGCTGCGGGCCATTATTTTGACCGAGTCCCACATCTTCAGGGTTTCTGCGTCGTACGGACTCACTTCAAGTATGTCGCCGTTTTCACAATCACCCGTTTAAGCGCGAGCAGACGACATTGTTGTCAGAATTCCGGTCTCACCCGGATGAGTCTCACCACATGGCATTGCACGCGATGTTGCTACAAACATGCAACAGAATGTAGTTCCTCCCGTGCACCCACCCTGCTGCGGCAGAGTTGTGGACTGATGTTCTTTCTGGACGGCTGACAGTGCTCCCTGCATCAAAGATACAGCTGAGCTCTGTGGCTGGCCTTGTCCAAGTGCCTTGAGAGCAGATGACACAAGGCAAAGACCAGCCAAACTGCATAAGTTCTTGTATGCTGCAGAACCATTGTGCTAGTACTATACTGCACTATAGTTGTATAGTGCCATGATACTACTACTATAAGATCTCAAGGCTGCAGTGTTCCAACACAATTCCGGAGGGATGTGCCTGAGACCGTGCATCAGCGGACCTGCAGAAATCGTGGAGCAAGCTGCTAATAATCACCTCCTGAACTAGATGAAACGGAGGCCCCACAAAATCATATACGGGTCCGGAAAAAGTTGCGCTGCTATAGGGTCCATACTTGATGTCAAACAGTGCGCGGGTGTTTAATTTTAGGGCAGGGTGCTAGCTTGTGGTGCAGATGCTACATCTAAATTTGTTGCGGGTTCCTCTGTAGTCCTTATCTGATCTTCATGTCCAACTTATCCCGTGAACTGTGGCATTTTCAGCCGAGAGGGGGGGCGTGCAAAAGCATGGCCCCAGTGGATCCTGAGGTGGCGGATGCACTGACCTTGGGACTCCAAATGCTGGATTTGTCTCGCTAGTGGGAATTATTAGGGTAGAATATGGGGTAACATTAAGGTTATATTAGGGTTATATTGGGGTAACATTAAGGTTATATTAGGGTTATATTGGGGTTGTATATTTGTGTCTATGGCTTAGGTTGGTAGGCTCTAGGCTTTCTTATGAGTCCTACAGCCGCCCTACTTGGGGTAGCAGGGGCCGCAGATTCTGTGTAATATATATAGAATCTTATTCCTAGGATGGGATCTGTTCAACCTCGGAGGCCGTGATCCCCTGAAGCCTCACGCAAATTCGTGAACCCCAGGCATTCAACCTCCCACAATCCCTCAAGCCTGGAAACCATCCTTTCTACTTAGCAAAAGGGAAACCTACTAAGCCCCTCTAAGGGATACCTCGAAACCCCTAAGGGGCTCCCCATGCTTCAACCCTAAACCCTAAACTACCCTTAAGGGGACTCCCCATATTTCAGCCCTAAACCCTAAACTACCTTTAAGGGGACTCCTCATGCTTCTGAAGCCCAGACCCCCTAAAGGATCCAAAGAATGGAACCTCTTAATAATCCACTAGTTTCCCCAATGTAGTCATGGGGGGGTCATTTGGGGGGTTCCATTTTTTGGATCCTAAACCCTAATCCCTAAACCCTATATACCCCTATATAGACCCCTATAAACCCTTTTAAGGGGTTCCATTTTGGTTCTGGGAACATCCATCTCAGGAGAGCATGGGGTGAAGAGGAGGACTGGAAGGTCAGCATCTCGAGGCCATGTAGTGCTGGGCAAATACAGGCTTCAGAGTCCGAAACTGGGAAGTTCATAGGAGCTGTAGCCAAAACTCCTTAAAGAGGGTTATATAGGGGATGATATAGGGCAGTAGTATAGGGGCTATTAAGGGGGATACTAGGAGCTTCGGCTATAGCTCATAGGGCTTTTGGTTTGCTAGTAGGTGTTGGGGTCTGAGGGCTTTAGGGTTTAGGAGTTTAGGTTTTGGGGGCTGATGGTTAAGCATGCTGCTTCACATGTTTTCTAGATTCTAGACCCCCACATTGCAAAAGTCTAAGGTTAAAACCATGGGCCCCTAGTATGGATCCGTAGCCCTGGGATCGTTATATACCTACTACATACCCTTTTTGTGCCCACCCCGAGATCTCCCTAAAACCCCATATAATGGGCCATACTCCTACCTTGGATAAACACTAAACCGCCATACTTCTAAACCCTAAACCCTAAACATCCCCTTAGAACCCATACTTCTAACCTTGATAAAGAGCAACTCAGGATCAAGGCCGTCCGGGCCAACGAGGAGTCCCCTCACCTCAGGTTGGGGGCTGGTGTTCCTCAGCTGCTGGGAGTTCTTGAATCTTGTTTCTTGTGTAGGCTTACATTTAAGGTTCAAGGTTAGGGCTTAGGGTTCAGGGTTTGTGTGGGTTTAATTTAGGGTTCAAATTTTGTCACGGTTTGGGATTTAGGGTTTAGGGTTTCAAATTTGGGGCTTGAGGCTCAGGATTTTGGTCCTCGGGTCGAGGAAAGTGTTCAGGATTAAGGGTTGGAGGGTTTGGGATTGCTGTTGCTGGTGCTGCCGTATTCAGATTATGTCTGACTCATGACTCATGTTTCCTGCTTTGGCAAGTCAGGATCCTCAATGAAGGATGCTGTGGCTCTGTTAACTTACTTACATCCTCAATGCAGGATCGAGCCTTAGATAGATCCTACACCGTAGACCTTCCATCCTAGACCCCATGCCCCAAGCCCTACATCCAGGCACAGGTCGACACGCCCGGCAATCCCAAGCCCTAACTCAGTCCTCAACCCTAAACCCTAACTAAGCCCTAAAGCGTAAACATCAAACTCCAAATCCTGGGTCCCTCCATCCTAAACCCTAAACCTTAAGCCCTAAACCCTCAATCCTAAACCCCTCAACCCTAAGCCCTAAACCTTCGCGTGTGCAGCAT